TTGCTAATCATCAGAGAGATGCAAATGAAAGCACAATGAGGTATCACTTCACACCTCTCAGGATGGCTACCATCAACAAATCAACAAATGACATGTGCTGGCGAGGATGTGGAGAANCTGGGGCAGCCACTATGGGAAACAGTATGGAGGTTCCTCAAAAAATTAAAAATGGAGCTGCCTTTTGACCCAGTGAGCCCACTTCTAGGAATATATCTTAAGAATCCTGAAACATTAATCAGAAAGAATATATGCACCCCAATGTTTATAGCAGCACAATTTACAATAGCTAAGATCTTGAAACAGCCCAAGTGCCCATCAGTGATGAGTGGATAAAAAAGCTATGGGACATTTACACCATGGAATACTATGCAGCTCTAAAGAAGAAGGATCTTGTACCCTTTGGGACAGTATGGATGGACCTGGAGAATATTATGCTAAGTGAAATAAGCCAGGCAGAGAAAGACAAACATCACATGATCTAATTTATATGTGGAATCTAAACAACTTAATAAACTGATGAACAGAAATGATTCAATGACATGGAAGCATGGATCAGACTGACGAATCTCAGAGGGATAGAGGATGGTGCATGGGTGGAGGGGGAGAGATTAACCAAAGAATTTATATGCATATATGTGTTACCCAAGGACATGGACAATGGTGTGGAGAGGAATTGGGGGGGGGTGCGGGGTGGAATGGGTCATTGGGGAGAAAAAGGGACATCTGTAATATTTTGAACAAAAATAAACAAACAAAATAAATAAATGAATAAATAAATAAAATTTAAAATAAAAAATAAAAATAAACAAAACAGTAATAAACATGTAAGTTATGAGACAGAGTGACTAGGATTTAAAATTCTTATTTTAATTTAGGAAAATGTGGAAATATTCATTTTAGATTTTGCTAATCATGAATATTAAAATGTTGAGCAACCTCTAAAAGAGTGGAAACAGATTATATAATTCAAATATAGATTTAAAAACTCTACCAATTCTAAAGGAAGGAGGAAAAGAGAAAAAATAAACAAAGCATAGAGAGCTCCAAATGAGAAAACAGAAGTAAGCTGAAATAAATCAGTAATGACAGTAAAAGTAAATGCACCAAATCTACCATTCAATAGACATATATTTTCAGTCTGTATTAAAAATCAACCAAAGCCAACTATGTTCTGTTTACAATAGACACAAAATAAAAATATAAAAAGAAGCACAAAATAATGAGTAGATACAGATGAACTAGGCAAGTACTAACTATACAAAATCTTATGTAGTTATATTAATATTAAATGAAATACACTTTTAGGTAAAAAGCATTTTTAGGAGAAAAGAGGTTTTCTCACTATATAATAATAAAATGTACAATTTACTAAGAAGATATAATTGCTTTAAATATATCTACCTCTAATAACAGAAGCTCAAAATATATAAAGGAAAATGAGGGCAAGCTCAGGCAGACTTTGTAATGTCATTTCTGGGGATGAAGATGAAAATGTGAGAGTGCTTTGCAACACAGGAGAGCTACTGTTTTATCTTCCCTGATGTTGGCTTTTCTGATAACTGTTCTTAGGAATTTGTATCAGAAATGGAGTATGACTAATAAATACTCTAAAATGTAGAATTGGCTAAATGGAGGCTGAGTAGAAAGGAATGAGGATGCACCTCATACAGGGATAGAGAACTGATGGTCTGGTTCATGTGGTGGCAAAGAAGTAGGTTAAAATATTAGCCATTGTCCATTTGGATTCCAACCCACTGCTCAGAGAGGCTGGAGCTTTAGACCACTTGACAATAAAACGCCAGGAAATTAGAATATGCTGAAGTACCTCAAGTGCCTTTAGTGAAAGTATACCAGAGACAAAGTCTAGGATAAAGGGAGTCCTCCTGAAAGCAGAGAGGAAATAGTGGGCAAAATGTAGCCTTTATTTTTATTTTTTTGTTAACTCTCACCTGAGGATATTTTTTTCCATTGATTTTTAGAGAGAGGGAGGGAGAGAGGGAGGGATGGAGAGAGAGAGTAAGAAAGAAAGAGAGAGAGAAAGAAACATGAATGCGAAAGAGGAACCCTGACGGGCATGGATGAACCCGCAGTGCAGGTATGTGCAGGGAATCCAACACACAACCCTTCAGTGAGCTGGCCGACACTCTAACCACTGAGCAACACCGGCCAGGGCAAATATGTAGCTTTTGAAACAGAAGAATCTGTTGCTCATAGCCAAGAATCTGAGACAGCCCCAGGCCAGATAATCATGTACCTTGTGGGATGGCAGTTGCTGCAAAATATGCTTTATCCTGTTTCTAAAGCAACCTAGGAAACTATGGAACCTAGCAGTTGGAATGGAGACACTGGGGAGGAGTTCTAGGAATCAATCCAACCTTCAAAGCTTACCTCTCCCTTGGGATAGCGGTAGCGATATTTATCTTGGTCCCGTAGTGCAAATTCTTCAGGGTAATGTTCCTGGATTTCTTCATAGGTCATCTCCTCACAGACACCCTGAGAAAAATTATTTGGGGACAAAAGTATTTAGAAGGTGAAATCCACACAGCCTTTACCACAGTTTTGAGGCCAAATGATTGTAGAACAGTAACACCTAGGTGTCTGTAAACACAGCTCTAGGTTTGTGCTGTTGCCTGAGTGTATATGTGTGTGTGCGCGCACAAGGTATGTGGCTGTGCAGATGTGAGAGTGAGTGCATGTGTATAGATATGTTCAGCATGAGTGTATGGTGGGTCTCTGTTGTGTTTCTATATGATTGTCCCAATAAGTTTGTAGGTGTACATTGTCTATATATATGTACGTATTTTTATAAATATGTGGGTTTAAGGATTTGTGACTTTGCATGTGTGTGTGCAGTATGCTTATGATGTATACCTGTGGCATGTTTAGGGATCTATACTTTGCGTTTGTATGTTTATCTCATCATATGTAGTGTGCCTGTGTGATTGTGTGTGTACAGGGTGTCTGAGCATCTGAAAATGTGCCTGTATGAATGTTTCTGTGATCTGTCTTTGGCATGTGTATCTGTGAGTGTGTATGTGCCTGATTATGTTTCTGGTGGATATGTGTGAACACATGTATGCCTATGTCTGAGGTCTGTGTGAATTTGTAGTAATATGCTTGAGGCTGTATGATGTACCGTGTATGTGTCCATGGTATGCCTCTGTGTTCATGTGATGTAGAAATAAGCAAAGACTGCATGTGTGTCTATGGTGACTGTGATTGTGTCTATATGTATCTCTAGGTGTGTCTAAGTGTGTGTATGGTGTAGATGTTTTGGTAGATGTGTCTGACAGAGAGCCTGTGTCTGACTAGTGGGCCCATGTGTAAAGTAAGGGTCTGTGGCTGTAAGCATACTTGTGGTGGGTGTCTGTGACTATGGATGCAAGTTTATGCACATATACAGCAGGGTTCTCCTATTAGATAGCATTTCTCATCCCTCCTGCCCTACCTCTGCTCCAGAATCTCTGGCAGATAAAGAAACAGCTATCCACAGACATCTCAGAAGGCAAGAATTAATAAATTCCTAATGGTTTCAGAGTGGGCCTAGGGGAGATACACTCTCCTTACCCAAAAAAGAAATTGAGAGTTCAGACACTGTCCCTCAGAAGCATGTGAGAGATCCAAGTCCACTGAGAAATTCCAAGAGTGAGATGGCTGTTGGTAGGGTAGGGAAGTGATGTTGAGTTTATATGTTTTCCTTCTGGTTGTGTGGATTCCAAGGATTAGAGCTTCCTGTAGGGGAAGCAGCAGGCTCTGGTTGCCGTCTTTTGAGCAATCTACCAGGTTTCCCTTACGGGTGAGGTTCACCTCCGCCCCAGCCCACAAACAGCTCTGCATTGTCAAACTTCTCCAACTGACACTGCCCATGGGAGAAAGTGCACCCTACAGGATGCACACAGTCCTTCCAGATTGGCTTTGACTCTCTATTCTGAGGCATTATGAGAACCTGTTGCCTGTGGAAATGGTCACTGATTCCCTGTTGACTTCAGAAAAATTGCCTAACCTCTCTGAATTTTATTTTCCTCATTTGCAAAATGAGAATTACAATTAGCCTCCAAAAACGTTTTGAATATTAGAGGTAATATGTGCAAAAGGGCCTAGTACAGGATGTACAAGGCACATTTTAAAGACTCAATCAATGGAATGAATTATTAATATATTATTGATCATGGAAAACACACCAGAAATTTAGGCATCATTCTAAATTCTTGCTTCATCCTCACCCACAGCCTCATTACCGAGTGCTGAGACTTGACCTTCTAAATTCCTCTCAGATCTATCCCCTTCTTCCCTCTTAGTCCCCACTGCTACAGCCTTAGCAGCTGTACAGACACACACACACACACACACACACACACACACACACACACAC